TTCTTTTGCACACAAAGCATTGGTTGTTTCACGCGAATTGCGATAGCCTCTGCTGTTTGGAGCATGTGGTACTTCGTTGTTTTTGGTAATTTATTTGGCACCCTATAGTTGATGGAGAAGGATTCTTCAATGCTACCTGGCTTAGTGCCCAGTTTGGGCCAGACGGTCTAATGTCCAACTGTTGATAATGGTAAACACCACACGCTTACTTAGCCATACTGGGAGATGTTCAAGAGCAAGCACAAAAAATCAAGTTCCTAGAACAACGGCCAATATAGCTCGCTCCACCATAAGTGCAGTTGAATTTGTAGATACAATTTGAAGTGGCTAGTCTAGTCTAGGTACTTCATCTTTCAGTCGAGAAACAACCATCGGTCGTGTAGAGAAGTTCTTTGAACTAATTTTCTTAATTTCTTCGTAATTCTCTCACTTGGTCTATATCGCCCTTGAATTGCAGTCGTATACAAAGAGGCTTCTTGTATACGGATAGGGAGTAGTCGTTTTCCGCTTTCTTTATCATGTGTTTCTTGATAAATTTGTCAGGATAGTTATTTTCAATCAAAGTATCATATACAATGCCTAATTCATCTTCACATACTTTTTCTGAGCATATATCTCTAACTCTGTGGCTGAGGGACTTTACTAAATTTCTTTTGTACTTCAGAGGAACGAAGCTGTAATCTTTTATTGCCAATAATTGAAAGTGCACCCCAATGACAAGCCATTGCGTTTTGGTAAACACATACACAACCTGAATGGTAGAATTCCTGAACACTAAGCACTAAACATCAAGGTCATTCAACGACAATATGGTGATGCCAACAGCCAAGTTGTTCACAATGGAAAACTCAAAGAAGACTTTGAAGTGAGGGCAGGAGTAAGACAAAAGTACCTACTATCGCCTGTAATCTTGCTGACTGTGGTAGGATGAATCATGCACCTGATCGTACGGAGCGAGAGAACAGGCCTACGATGGACCGGTAAAAAGACTCCTCTAGAAGATCTGGACTCTGCTGATGATTTATGTCCAATGTCTACGGATGAAAACCAACCAGTTGATATAAAAAGCAGCAAAGACAGATTCTCAAGTGAACATACAGAAGACAGTACTAATGCAGATATCTAATCAGCGACAACAACAAGTAGGAATCTCCAGAAAAACCATAAATCGCCTGTTTCATTTATCCGGGCACCATCGTTTCAGTTACAGGAAGCACAGGTGAAAATATCAAAGGTAGATTAGGGAAAGCAAGGCGGACCTTCACTATTCCGAAATTGGTCAATGGGTCTGTTGCACTCAGCATAAAGAACAAGATTCTCGTTTTTAACACTGATGAATCAGGGACTTGAAGAGCGCATCATCAAAAGCACTTCCAACAATCTACTGAAAACCTTCACCAACAACTGCCTTCGTTGACTCAATACTGAAAATCAGATGGTGGACCAGAAAAGATGAGGAACAATGAAACTTCGGTAAGTAGAAAGCCAATCAAGCCAACCTACTACCCACAAAATATGCCAAAGAAAACGGCGATAGACTGAACTCACACCGAAGAAGCCAATCAGTAACAAGATACGCAAGATCCTCTAGTAGAATACGGATAGGAAAAGATGAAACAGTCGTGGATCGAAGGATGACATGTAGGAGGTTGATTGATAAAGAAATGAAATCTAATCGGTTATCAAGGAGCCGGCTAAAAGGTTCTGCAGAGACGTAAGTGAAATGAAAATGTAGCTTTAAAACTTTAATATCCCATCAGGAATCCAAGGAGATAGTATTTATAATATTAAGTACTACACCCATGATACTGGTTAATTCCTAGTTATCAGTCCATATAACCATTAAAGTCCCGTCTAAAGTCAATTTCTTTTTCCTTCATGTATTGGTATTTTTGTAGGGATTTCGTTGATTAGCTGGAGGATTTCATCAGGAGCTGATATCGGTTAGAGAACCACTGGAAAACCAGTACTGGACAGCTGTTCCGCCAACCTAGTTTGGGACTCTTCATTAGCACGCACCTGCTGGAGTTCGAACCCAGGACCTTCTGGCTACAAGGCGATCCCGAAGATCAGTAATCCACTGCGACTTAGATTAAGGGTCTGTAAGCTCGCCCTGTAGTCAGAGGGTCCTGAGTTCGAAGAGTCCAAAACTAGGCTGACGAAACAGATGTCTAGTACTCCCAGCTGGTTTTCCAATGGTTCTCTAACACTCATGTCACTTCATGATGAAATCCTCTAACCAATCCTTAAACTGAGTCTAGAATTCTTTGTTGCAGTAACTTTATGGCAGTCAGAAGGTCCTTTAGAAGATTTGATTATATACCTCTCACATACACAATTTGCGTAGAACTGCGTAGACATTCACCCATCTTACTGCTGGCATCTGAATAACCCTTACTATAGTACATGGGTCTTTCAGACATGAGGCAACTAATTCTGAGCTTCAAAAAGACATAATGTGATGCAATTTTACCAAGTGCTTTGCTTATACAGGGATAGAATGCTTGCCGGTCAATCATGTCGTTCCGGTTTGATTCACGGCCGAGAAATTTCTACACTTTGTCCAAATGGTCGTAAACATAGAAAAGATGGAAAGTTAGGCATGAGAATAGAAAACCTCACTCCACAGAAAAAAAACGAAGCCATCGATACTGGAACTACAAAGTTTGAAGCTTTATTGGTATAAGTATAAAACTTGGGCACTGTGACTGTAAAGTATAACTCCATTATAGATAAGAATTTATTTTGATAAAGTCACACAGTGTTTTGCAGTAATATTTACTGATGACCACGTTTCCAGCACAAATTATTACCACTCATAATCATATCAAGTCACTACTCACACAACTTTTTCCTTCATTTATATACATGAGTGAAATTGATGATTAGACATTTGAATAAAAATCAATATAGGATAATGTACATTCAGAAATAATAATATGAGTGTTACCAATCAAATACAATCAGATGGGAAATAAGACGAGTGTTTTTATAGTCAAAATAAGTAACTTGTTAGAATGTTGTAATTAATGTATGTGAATTGAAATAGAATAAATTTAAGATTATTTATTATCCTCCTCTGATTTGACTGACTGACTGGTGGTAATAATATCTTCCTTACATATCTCTGGTATTTGCATTGAGTCATTTCTGTTGCATGTGTTGTGTTGGGTGTAGACTCGATGAACCAGGATTCAGTAATCATTCTCTCTCTACCTACCTATATTACTTTTAAGAATTTTGTATCTGTACCACCCACCCTATTGTGTGATTTTGTGTTAATGCATGCAGTTCTATTGCTGAGATCCTCTTTATAAATGACTTATCTTCGTGCAGTCAACCACTCTTACTTTAGCTAAATTCTTATGTTCTGACAATCTGACTACCTCCGCTCGATCTACTAGTTTGACCTATGTAGTTTGCCTTACTCACAGTCATTGCAAGGTATTTTGCAAATAATATTATTTTGTGTGATTGGGTCCACCGGGTCTTTAAGCCTACAGAGCTTGTCCTGTCTGAGTGAGTTTGTAGGTTTGAATGCCACCCTAATTCCTGCTTTATTGAGAATCCTACCACGTAGTGTCTCAGATATCCCCTCCTTATGTGGTATAACAGTAGATGCCTTTTATTCTCTCTTATTTATGTTATTATTAATAGTTTCACCATTATTTTTATTTTGTTTTTGACCACTTTTGATATTCCTAATGAATTTTATAGGATAGTCAGTTATTTAACACCAACGTCTCTTCTATCTGTTTCATTTCATCGTTTATGTCTTTTTTTGTCAGACACTTAACTAGGCCAGCCTTTACAGACAACGGGTTATGGTGGGACAATCAAACCTACCAATTCACTCAAGTAGGACAAGCTTTGTAGGCTAAAAGACCCGATGGACCCAATCACACAAAATGATATTATTTGCAAAATACCTTGCAAAGACTGTGAGTAAGGTCAACTACATAGGTCAAACTAGTAGATCGATTGGACGTGGTCAGATTGTCAGTACATAAGAATTTAGTGACTAAGGTAAGAGTGGTTGACCCCGAGGAGATAAGTAATTTCAAAAAAACGCTCAGCAATTGCACTACATGCACTAGCACACAACCACACAACAGGGTGAGTGGTACAGAGTCACAATTCTAAAAAGTCATATAGGTAGGTGGAGAGAGAGAGATTGAGCACTGAATCCTGCCTGGTTCATCGAGTCTACACCCAACACATGCAACAGAAATGACTCAATGCAAATACCAGAGATATGTATGGAAGATATTATTACCACCAGTCAGTCAAATCAGAGGAGGATAATAAATAATCTTAAAATTCTATTTCAATTCACATACATTAATTATAACATTCAAACAAGTTACTCATTTATTTTGACTATAAAAGCACTCGCCTTATTCCCCATCTGATTGTATTTGATTGATAACACTCATATTATTATTTCTGAATGTACTTTATCTTATATTGATTTTTATTCAAATGTCTAATCATCAGTTTTCACTCATGTATATAAATGAAGCAAGAAAGTTGTGTGAGTAGTGCCTTGATATGATTATGAGTGGTAATAATTTGTGCTGGAAACGTGGTCATCAGTAAATATTACTGCAAAACACTGTGTGACTTTATCAAAATAAATTCTTATCTATAATGGAGTTATACTTTACAGTCACAGTGCCCAAGTTTAATACTTATATAAATAAAGGGACTGGTCTCTAACTACTAAAATACAATAATGAGTAGTATGCTGCCAGGCAAAATTAGCTTCTAAATCGAGTCGATATTTTTTAAAATCACTCTCTTAAACACAACACAGAATTCCACGATTTTATTATTCTCTTGTTAAAATTTATATAAAAATATTGCAAATTTGACAGCAAAAAGAATTTGCAGAAATACACAAAAAAACTGTAAAACAAGAGAAAAACCAAAAAATAATTAGAATCGGTGGAATGAGTATTAATCTGCTCAACTTTCAACCTTTTCATTTCTTCTTTTCTTTATTTATGAGATTTATCAGACCAATTACAATCATAGTTACTATCATTGGACCATAATAAAGCAACTCTGTGCATTGCACATGTCATATAAGGTACTTTTGTACAAAATTGATTTCTCGCCGCCGTCTCCGCCGCCGCCTTTTGATGACATTCCAGTTGAAATGATGATGCGTTATTATTGTTATCATCTTTATGCTGCAATGGAATACAACGACAGTATGAACAACCAAAACGAAAACATGATTTATTGATCAAGTGTCCACGACAGATTTTTGATGATGGCATCCATGAACAATTAGCTGTTAGAAACATTTGATAAATTTGACTTTTTGACGATTCCTGATCCCTGAAAGACATCATTTGTCTTCTTCGTATTATTGTTGTAGTACTCGTTGTTGTTATAGTTGGAATTCTACTTATAATTACAAATAAATTAGTAATATGGTAGGCGAAGATAGAAAAGACGAGAAATAACACTATAGAGAGTAAATAGAAAATCTTTGTTTAGAAAAATTATAGATGAACTTACTTTTAATGAGTACAACTCGCATGAGTGAGTGAGTGGAACACAAAAAATGACAAAATAATCGAATAATATTTCTCTGTCTTTTTCTTAGGTACATATATGCATATATATACCACAAATTTATTGAGAATGTTACACTGAATAGTAAAGAACTGTTTAAAAGTGTTTATGATTTGTGTAGTGAGGCGAAGCGTATACACCTCATGACTTTATTGTACTTTGAAGGCAATGGAAAAGATTATCTAATGCGTAGGGTGTGTACACACATAAGCGAAGGGGGGAATGAAAATTTTTCTTTTCTATTGAGTAATCGATAAACATTGCCTGTTTTGTTATTTAAGAACACAATATTCAATGAAGAGACTCTTTTCAACGAATTTATTATCAAGCTGTACAATCGTATATATGTGGTTTATTTTATAAGAAATTATATCCGGTGAGGGAATTAGGTCAAAGGTGTGAATACATGAAATTATAATAGTATGAAATGTGTGCCTAAGCAGACGTAATGACGGATCTCTCAAAAGATCTATCCAACGGAAACGTACATGGAACGGACAACTAACTAATTTTTACAGTTGGGTGCCTATTTCCAGGGAAAGGGACCTTATTCATTCGCTCTGCTCTAGGATAAGGAAAATTTGTAGTTCTGATTGCGTTGACTCAGAACTTTTTCTTAAAAGCTACGCTCGCAGAAAACGGTTACCCTAACCGATTTATTGACAGCAACATAAAAGACAAGCAGTCTAAACTGGTCATCGACTCAGTTCCAAAGAAAACCTTATTCATGAACTTGGAATTCAAGGGTGACCAAGCTTCAGTAAGACGTTCTATGCAGCAAAATTACATATGACGTTCACTAGCCGCAAGTTGTTCTCTACCTCTGTATAAGATAAGCTCCCCCATCTGGCCGCCTCAATGTGCATCTATCAGTTCACCTGCTCTTGTGGAGCAAGGTACATTGGCCGTAGTCAGAGGACGCTTTCCACACGGATACGAGAACATATTCCAGCTTGGTTTTACAAGGGAGAAAGGAAGTGTGTGCGAAACTCCATTCTGGAACACCTGATCGACTTCTGTCACTCTGTCAACCCTGACCATTATTTTAAGATCATATATAGAATCCATGCTAACTTTCTTCATTTTCTTCCTTCTAAAGGCACCGGAGGCCTTGGCAATTCATGACTTTAAGCCAGCCACAGCTTTGTGTACAAAAGAAGTATGTACAATCCCTACTTCTGCCTTGGTCGTAGAGGGATAGACATTTATTTATTTTGTTTATTTAGTTATTCTATGTATTTTTCGCTTATTACTACGATTATTATTATTACTATTCTCACTCTGAATTGTTTCCACTTGACCCACTTGTCATTCTAAATCCAAAATTATTAAATTTTTTTCTACAATATTGAATTCTATCTTATCAAATTTCACACGATGTTATGTAACATTTTATATTCGCCTACTAGTCCTTTAATTATGTACTCCTTTCCATCATCTATACACCTTATGTATTATTCTATATATGACATTAATTGTTATGCCACTTGACATTTAACTATGATGATAATCACAAATATTTTAATTGCATTTCATACTATTATTATTTCATGTATTCACACCTTTGACCTAATTCCCTCACCGGATATAACTTTTTTTAAAACCATATATATACGATTGTACAGCTTGATAATAAATTCGTTGAAAAGAGCCTCTTCGCTAAATATTGTGTTCTTAATGCTACAATGGGAATTATTAAATTGTTTTGTTATTTCCCTATGTTCCGAGTGAAACAAAGTGCTACAACAGTACTGTATCTTCATTTCATTGTGATTTTTGAGGTCGTCTTTAGGTGACTCTATAATTGTCCATAAACTGTCAACTTCTCGTCACATAATCTCTTCTATGTCACCCGAGAACCTACGCCAAACTCGTCATTCTCCCTTCAAGTTCTAGTCAAGTATTGGTCCAAAGCATGATGTCACTCAGTGTCTGTCCGATCCATTAACATTTTCTTTGGAATATTTGCTAGACGATTGTTTCTTGACTGCTTCTCTCCAGGAGTTCCTGGTAGGCCATCTGATCGTTAGTATCGAGCCAAGGGAGACATATGTTGATAAAAGTCTGAAGCAGACTTTCGCAAATGCATTTGGTGTCAAGCCGTCTTTGATTCACATAGAAGCACTGACGGACTTAACGTTTGTAGTGTACCTTGAACTTTTGTTTCAACGCAGTCACCGACTTTTGGCGCTACTTCATCTTTCGATTTGCAACTCGCCTTTACAGTTTACAGTTTACAATTTATTTAGGATAGTAGGCTATATGCCTGTGTTAATCCTTTCTATTTGTTACACACAGGAGGCCCAATCTCGCCTTGAATGAATCGACAGATGGCGCTGATACGACGTGTTCCGGTAGGGAGTTCCAATGGTTCACAATCCGATGCGAAAAACGGATCTCCAAACGCAGACGATTCGACCGTGGTTTTTGAACCTTGAGGTGATGTCCTCGCAATTGGTTGGTGCTAGAAGGAAGAAATAAATTAGATAAATTAGCTCCAAAATCATTTCTTAGGATACGGTATGCTAGTATTAGGTCACCCCTAAGTCGTCTGTATGACAGTGGATATAAACCCAGTCGACTTAACCTCTCCTCATATGAGAGAGTTGAGAAACCCTTTATTAGCTTAGTTCCTACTCTTTGCACCCTTTCTAATAAGTCTATTTCGTATTTGAATCACAGACTCGCTGCCTGGATCCCATATTCTAAATGAGGTATGATATAAGTCGGATATAATATACGAAATATTTCAGCGTCAAAATTCGCAAAACCCTTGCGTATGGCCCATAATATTCGAAAACCCTTAGTGGCTGCAGCTCTACAGTTTGTTGCTGTTTTCAAGTCATGCTGCACAACCACTCCCAAGTCCTTGTACTCAGTGACCACTGGGAGAGTAATGCCATTCATTGAGTAATTGTGCACGTGACTATGAGATACATGCATAACTACACTCTTGCTTAAGTTAATCTCCAAAGCCCAGTGCTTACACCAATCACTTAACAAGTTTAAATCTTCCTGCAAAGCAAGTTGATCACTATCATCGTGTAAAGCCCTCCATATCTTGATGTCGTCAGCAAACAGTAAGCAGGATGACCTAACTACCGATGGAATCTCATTAACATAAATCAGGAAAAGAAGTGGGCCTAGAATTGTACCCTGAGGAACGCCACTCTTAACCGATTCCCATGTTGATAAAACTCCGTTAACTCGTAATCTTTGTCTTCTGTCCTTTAGAAAGTCTTGAATCCAGTTGGCAACCACTTTATTGATTCCCAGACTACCTAACTTTACTAGAAGACCTGAATGAGAAACCCTGTCAAACGCCTTGCTAAGGTCGATGAATATGGCATCCACCGGTGTATTAGCATCAGCTGAGCTTGCCCAACTTTCTCAGGCCAAAAGAAGGTTGGTCAAGCAAGAATGACCTGCTCTAAAACCATGCTGTTCCACAGCGTACGTACTAGGTTCGCTCTCTCGTTGAACTTTCATTCAACGCCTTCTTCAAGCTTACCACCAGTCAAGGCATCAGATAACTTGTATAAGACCTTCATTTATTCAATTTTTGATATTTCATTTGTGTAAAATACAACTCCGTCCCAAAAACACTCCCGGTCTCAAGTCCTTTTACACACTAGGTAAAGTACTGCTTAAGTTATTAAACGGTGAAGTATTTAGTAAGTGTGGTTATTAGAGGTCCATCTTAGGTTTAACCTAACACATAAACATTAATGTTGAAAATCCGAATCTTGCTTCCTGAGCTAAGTACACGATGTATCCCCACTGATTTCAGATAAATAAATGTATGTCTTCCTTCTCAAATCCTCCTTAAAATCACCGAAAATACCCATTGACTTATGAAAAAAGTAAAAGATAATTCAGCAAAGAAAATTTCCATTTTGACGAAATCACCAACTGGGCTGTACATTCGTGTGTGATTTATATTAAAGGTGTGAGAAAGTTCAAGAATTATTCCCTGTCAAAGGTCAAATTAATAAAATTACAATGTGTAATAATCAGGAAGGTAGGGTAGGAATGACATAATAAGATATAATTACTCAGAAGTGGCTTCAAAAAGTACAAATAAAAGTTGTAAATCACGTAATACTCAACGGCAGAAAGAGGAAGATAGAGTTAGAAATTTAATAAGGTTACAATTTTCAAGTATTGGTTTTGTAGGAATTTTTGTTTGATTAGATGGGGGATTTCATCATGAGCTGACATCAGTTAAAGAACCAATGGAAAACCTGCAAGGAGTACTGGACAGCTGTTTCATCCTGGTTTAGGACTCTTCAGCAATTCGAACCCCGGTGGGTGCGTACTGTTGAAGAGTCCCAGACTAGGCTGAAGAAACAGCTGTCCAGTACTCCATGCTTGTTTTCTAGTAGTTTTCTAACTGATGTCAGCTCATGATGAAATCCTCCAACCAATCAGACAAACAAAAAATCCCTACAAAACCAATACTTAAAAATTAATCTGATGCTCACTAGAGACTGGAGGCCCTATTCAGGCAGTGACGTGGAGTTTTAGTGGGAAGCCGTGACCAGTAGGGTACGGCAAGTTGAAGATGAGGCAGTAACTCATCGAAGAAGGCATTGCGAAATGGTCGCACTATGTCGTGAATTCACAGAAGTTCGAATTCATGGACTGGCTAGCCATTGGATCGGGTCTCAGTGGGTTAATGGCCTACGAGTTCGCCTTGTAATCAGAAGGTCCTGGGTTTGAACCC